ACAACCTTGGCGACGAGTAGTCTATACTCGTCGCCCTTCGAGTGTGTTTTTGTTTTGGACTTTTCTTGTTTGCTCCATGTGTGTGAGGAGATTGAACTGAGTCTTTTGTGTGTGTGTTTTCTTTTGTGGATTGTCCATTATGTGGCCATCTCGGCTAACTCCGATCCCTAACGCAGAGTGTGCTAGTGTGTTCTTTATGTTCCCTTCGTGCAGAATAGTTCCATCATTCTTTCTGTCCCCCGCTGACTGGTCCACTTCCAGTCCCCTGGCAGTCTTTCCTTCCGGTAACATCGTTCCCCTTATCCTTCCCTCTGCTCCATTGCGTGCAATGTCGAACTTAAATGTGGGGGGGGGGGGTGCTTTGTATTGGTTGGAATCTATATAGTGTGCTTGGAGCCTAGTCCGCTGTCCAAATCTCAAGATTTGAGGGCTCCAAGTACTGATGTTTGCGTGATCATATTGGCACTGTGGGTTTGATTGGTGAATCGAATGCCTTTCGAATTGATGCATGACAACTGGATTGTGACCAAGACAACCTATAATGATGACTGAGACATGTAGTAGAGTTGTGTAGGGGTTCAGTGTTTCAACTGTTTGCTTACCAATTATGACTTGGATTGATCACTTGCTCTTGACAGTCGTTTATGCATCTAGTTCAGGGAATCAGAATGAGAGATAGAGCATATAGGTAGTCATGTGAGATTTGAGCCTGCTCGTTTCTTTCTTGTAGCGATAGATTCCTCTTCCATGATGTGTAACATTCACGTTGTCACTAGCTAAAATGATGGAGGCATAGGAATAGCCCACAACCAAATTGACTGTCCTAGTGTGTCATACCCCCTAGTCAGCCCCTTTGAGCCGTGTAATTTCCTTTGTTTTGGTCTACAATGGAAAATCACCCTTTTGCATCTCTTAGAAGGTTCCACAGAGTGGTTTTTGCTTGTTCTTAGCTGTTTCTGCTAAAAATGATGTGAGGGTTGGAGGTAGTGCTTAAAAGTTGGGCATGTGTTGAAAAATGTGCAGAGGTGGTGGTTCACTCAGGAAATGAAATGAAAAAAAGAAGAGAAAAAATGAATGAAAGCAAAAGAGAGTCACTACCAAAAATCTGAATCATGCTCATTAAGTAGTGTTTCTTAGCAGTCTGGCTTAGAAATACTAACATTATTGTGACCTCCTTCGCTCTGGTGCTCTAAAGAATTTGAGTAATGCAGAATGGCAGAAAGAAAGTAAGGGGTTTGAGTGGCTGTGAATGTGTTTGGGTTTGGAACTGTGGAACCTTATGCTATGAATACTTCCACCACCTATAAGGCCTTTTCCCCATGTCCAAGACCCTAGCCAGTCATCTGAACCTATGTCTAAGACCTCCGGATTAGTTAGTGGTGACATCCCTTATGTGAACTTTGACTTTTAGAGGCTGCCATCATGGTGAAGAGACGTTATAGGGATTGAGAGAATAAGCATGCACATTTTTTCGCATCAATTGTCCTGACCCCACTGGTCGAGAGTGAGCGTTTCATTTTCATATTCTCTATACTCTTTACCCCGGTGAGGACCTAGATGACTCGCTCTTGATTCTGATGTCTTGGGTTTGATGCATGCAATGACTGTCTTGGCTAAGTGGTTGAGTCGAGTCTATGTTGGTTGGTGAACAGAAGGGAGACTCTTCCTATACCCGATTTTGCTGCACTCGAATGTCCTATGTGGTGGTTGTCTAAGTTGCTATTGAAGTTGTCCATATGTCAATGATCAAAAGCCAGTATGATTCACGTGTTATGTGCCTATATGATATGCCCCCAAAGTTGGTATGATTGAAATGTGTTGAGCTTACCTTGTATCTGACTTGGTTTGCTTGGGGACAAGCAAACGGTTAAGTGTGGGGGAATTTGATCACTTGATATATACACATGTTTTTGTCCACCATTCGTATACCGTTTGAGCTTCATTTTTCGTATCTTAGGCCAATTTCACGCTAAATTGTTCTTGTTTGTGATATTTCAGGTCCTAGTACGTGAATGGAGGTTTGGGAACGAGTTCAGGGTCGATTAGACGAAGAATGGACGTTTGGCGAGAAGTTGAGGAAGCCACACGCCCAAACATAACAGCCACACGGTCGTGTGGCGTGGCCGTGTGGAATTCCTTTGCACGGGCAAACCACACTGGCCGTGTACCAGGTCCCTTGAGGCCGTGTGGAACTCACAGAGATGTTGCACGAGCAGGCCGAGATTTCACACTGCCGTGCAGTTCTGGCCGTGTGACGTGCATGAAACCACTTAAGTGAAACGTGGCGTTTCTCACCTCCATACGGGTAGCTGGGATTTCTACACGGCCGTGTGGTCAGGAAATTCTGGGTTTTAACCCAATTTCGGGTCTTTTGGAGGGGGATGGAGTTTTTGAGCAAAAAACTGAGCTTTAGAGAGAGAAAGTGAGAAGAACAAATCCTAAGAGCTATTTGGAGTGGATTTCACACCATTGAAGCCCAGATTGCATCCCCAGGAGTGAAGATCGACATCCCAGAGCATATTATCCTCATCTTTATGAGTATGACTACTCTTATTTTTGTTTTCCTCTCTCTCTCTCTCTATGGAGTAAGAACCTTCTCTCACTTGGGTATGAAGAACCCTAGTTCCATGTGTTAGGGATCTTGATTGTAATAACTTTGGATTGATATACTAATTTATTTTAATCAATTGATGCATGATTCATCGAGTCAATTGAAGCCTGATCATCTTTTCTTGATTTCTGCTGCAACCTGAGATAGATCGAATCTAATTAGGTTGTTAGAGCTTCATCAATCGGTAGTGGTAGATTGGTTATACGAGAGTTAATCGATTTACTGCTTTGTAATGGAATCCAATTCCAGTAGTGGAGTTCTGCGTTTAATGCCTCAGCAATCTATCCAGGTGAAGGCTAGTCGCATGCCGGTTAGTCTGCCTGCGAGGGCTTGGTCAGCTTAAGAGATTCCAAGCTACTGTCTAAGGAGCTAGGGGGACTCATTCCCGAGTGACTCTTCCTTTCCTCAAGAACTTTGAACCATTTCCTGCTTTCTTACTGCTTTTACTTAAAATCACAATCACTCGACTTAGTTTGCTAGATAATAGATAATCAGGGAGTAGGCAGTAGATCTAGACCCCGGGTTGAAAAATAGAGCTTGCCACTTTACTGCATTTCCGGACTGCGATTACACTTGGTCGCAGTTTGGTGTTGTGTTTTAGCGTGTCAGCTTTCAACCGGACCTTGATGTGCTACTTGATAAGGACCCATTTGCGACTCTTTGCCAAGCCATCGGCGATCCCTCTTGGTGGATGCGATGGAAGTCGATCGAGGTTGCACAATATGGTGTGGGGCAAAGAGAAAAGTGAAGAAAGAAAGAAGAAGAAGTCTTGTGGGTGGAGACTCAAGAAAAATCAAGTTCACGAGCCCTCAATCATGGATTCATCCAAAGCTTGTGACTTGAGACACCACCTCGCCGACGAGAACCTCAACTTCAAGGATGTTCTTGGGTGGACAGAAACTTGAAGAGCAACCGTCTGGCTCACGACGTTAAAGAAGCGCTTGGTGGGAGGCAACCCAACCATCAACGGTGTGTTTATTTATTTTTATTTTTTTGCTTCAATAAGTCGACCTTTTGTTTTGCCGCCTCCTTGATCTTCCGGATCTCACCTTCCCTCCGCTCCCGAACACCAACATTCACCACTACCCGGCAACATCGTTCTACTTTCCTATTTTACGCCATTGAGGGCAATGTCGAGCTTAAGTGTGGGGGGGGGGGGGGGTAGTCCATTATGTATGTGTGTGTGAATGTTTGGTGTGATTTTGAATGCTTGGAGCCTAGTTGTATCCCCAAATTTGAAAATTTTAAGGGCTTCAAGAAATGCTTGCATGATCAAAGTGGCATGTTTGTGGGAGAATCTCGTGTCTATTGCCATTAACCTCGAATTGTTGAATGTGATTGTGTGTGTCCTATGATGATGACTGAGAGGTGCATTAGTATAGTGCAAAAGGTTAGTTCTCATGTGTGCAAAAATGAATGGATGTCTTGACTCGATTACTTGTTGATTACAATTGTCATGCATTGTGTTTTGTGAAAGTGGAATGAAAGATTGGGTGACTAGGTAGCCATGTGTGTTTTGAGTCTATCGTTTTATTCTTGTGTGCTTAGATCCCTCTTACCATGGCGAGTAACATCACAGTTGTCACTAGTGAGTATGATGGAGGCATAGGATTAGTCCACACCCAAATGTTGATTGTCCCGAAATGTTTTATCCCCTAGTCAACCCCTTTGAGCCTTGTGACTTTGGGGGTCGTTCTCATGTTAGGAGCTCTTTGCTTGTGATCTTAATGGTGTTTAATAGAACGACCCCCCATCCTTTATTCGTGTATATACGTGTGCCATCCTTGTGTCTCGGAGCTCTCGCTTTTGAGTTCCATTGAGGTGCTACATAGGAGGATTGTGCGCGGTTCTTGCTAGAAATGAAAGAGGAAAGAGTAGCGTTGGAGTGAGTCTTAAAGGAGAGCATTGGTTATCAACTGTAGTGTGACAAGTGTTTAACTCTCTAGTACCCACCCCTCAAAAAGAAAAAAAGAAGAAAAAAGGATAGTAGAAAGAAGGGTTAATACCTTGTTATGGCCTGAACTATGACCAAGTAATCAACTTTGGCCAGTGGTTTGAGAAATTAACATCCTGGCCCGATCTATGCAGCATATTGACAAAATTGGCCTGGAGCGTGGTTTGACCGTTTGTTTGGACGGTCAACACCGTTGACCGTTAGTCAACTGTCCAGGTCACTGCCATGTCAACATAAAAAATTACAATTTCAATTTTTTTTATTTCATTTACAAAAATTGAATAATTAAAAAAAAAAAACAAAATCCAAAAATTTTGGCCCACCCATCCCCACCTTATCCCCTCACCTTCTTTCCTTTTCGGTCAATCCCTATTCCATCTTCTTCCTCCTTCTTCCCCGACGAGCTCTTTCTTCCTCCTTCTTCCTCCTCCTTCTTCCTCTTCCGTGGCTCTCCCGGTTTTAAAGCGAGAAAGAAAGAGCTCTCAATCTGAGGAAGTACATCATCCATCGTCGATATCTATCTATCTGTCGGAAGCGGCTGTTTTCTGCTTCTTCTGAGTCGATTTCACGGTGAACGGGGCGGCGGAGCTTGGGTGGTGCTGAGCTCGAGTTCTTTCTTTCTTTTCTTAACTCTTCCCTGGAAGGAAGGAAGATGAGTGTGGTGGGGAGACAGATGTCGGGATCTCACTCCACGGCGCACCACCACCGCCAGTACTCCGATAACTTCATCGACGCCAGCAAATGGCTGCAGTCATCTTCTCAGGTAACCAACCATACATTCTGCGGATGATTTTTTTTTTGGTTTCGACTTTGGGCTGAAGAATTACTGTGATGGTGCGTAGGACTTCGGGTATGGGTCAAAGATGAATCGGAGCCTGCAGTCAAACCCGTCGACTCCGCCGGTATGCTCGCGATCGTCGAGCCTCCGGAACGTTGGGGACGACCATGCGTCACCGGGCCTACTCGATCTCCACTCCTTCGACACCGAGCTTCTCACCGAGGTTTGGCTTATGTTGCAGTTGAGCTGCATTTCGGTTTGATTGGAGTAGTCGCCGCCAATTTTAGGAGCTGAATTGGATCAGGGTTTTGGGAATTGAGAAACGAATAAATTGTGGATTACAGAATGAAACGAGCTTATGTAGTAGCGAATTGTTGGTCTGTAGGTGCAGAATGGGAGCGGTTATGAAGGGTACTCGTTCGATGAACGACGAAGCTCTCGTGGTAGAAGTTTTGATGAATCCGAGCCAAATCTCTTGGCCGGCAAAGTTGGAAGCAGATCCACTAAAGGGCTGCCTGAGAGTAGCCTTCTCAAGAGCTTCTCTGGTTCCGTGGATAAGGAGAGAGCCAACAATGTAGCCAAGATCAAAGTTGTGGTATGTTTGTTGAAGAAGGAATGGAGGCGGCGTCTCGTCGGGGAAGAAGGAGGAAGAAGATGGAATAGGGATTGACCGAAAAGGAAAGAAGGTGAGGGGATAAGGTGGAGATGGGTGGGCCAAAATTTTTGGATTTTGTTTTTTTTTTAATTATTAAATTTTTGTAAATGAAATAAAAAGAAAAATGAAATTGTAATTTTTTATGTTGACATGGCAGTGACCTGGACAGTTGACTAACGGTCAAACCACGCTCCAGGCCAATTTTGTCAATATGCTGCATAGATCGGGCCAGGATGTTAATTTCTCAAACCACTGGCCAAAGTTGATTACTTGGTCATAGTTCAGGCCATAACAAGGTATTAACCCTAGAAAGAAAGAGAAACGAAAAAGAGGTTATAAAACGGGGTCAATAAAGTAGAGAGTGCCACAAAAGATTAGAAGAGTATGCTCTAAGTGGGGTTTCTTGGCATGTAAGCCATTGAAACCCCCTCAATAGTGTTTTAGAAATCCTTCACTACTAAGTCGAAATGTGATAGCAAGAAAGACCGAGGAGGAGTGCTAAAAGGTAGTTCATGAAGGGTGATAGGCTGGAAGGGAGAAGGAAGGTTCTTAGTCGAAACCATAGAACCTTCGGGTTTAGGGTGAAGATGTAGGCCTCATGACGTGTTTGCCACCACCCAAAAATACTTTTCCTCATGTCCAAGACAATTGCCAGTCATTTGAACCCGTGTCTAAGACCTCCGGACAAGCTAGTGATGACAACTGCCCCATGAACTCTAACCTTTAGAGGTTGCCGCCGTGGTGAAGAGACGATAGGGCCGAGTGTATATGACTGTGCACATTCTTTGCACCAAAAAGGTCCCAACCTCACTGGTCAAGAGAGTGAGTGATTCATTCTTGTTTTGCATGTCATATCATACCCCGGTGAGGACCTTTGTTACCCATTTGTTCGTTCCTTGGACTTGAATGTTATGCATGATTAGTTGGGGTTTATAAGTGATTTTGTTGAGACTTGCATTGATTCATGAACAAGGTGAGAACTTTTCATATCCTCATTTTGGTGACCTCGAATGTCGTTTGTGGTTGATGTCGGTATTGCTTGCAATGGTCCATGTGTTAATTGCCAATAGCCCTTGAAATTCGCCACTTTGTGCCCTTTGATTTGTCCCCAAAGCATTTTGATAGGCTGAGAGATTACCTTGTGTGAAATGATTTGCTTGGGGACAAGCAAACGTCTAAGTGTGGGGGAGTGATTCGGGTCCACTTGTACACATTTTACCCCTCATTTCTTGATAGTTTTGCTTTGCATTTCATCGTCTCTCAACATATTTCATGCTAGGTTGTGCTTGTTTTGATACATTCCAGGTCCTAGCACGTGTGGAAGGGTCGAGGACGAGTTTTGGGACGATTGGAGGCCAAAAAGTGCAAAAACCGAAGAAAAGTCCAAAGTCCGTGATAGTTGCCCCGTAACAGTGAAGTGCAGGCGTCCAGGTTTCAGGCCATGTTCACGGTTTCTCATTGGAGGGTACAGTCTCCTAAGGCCATGAACTGAAGCCATAAACCGTGAAGCGTCCAGGGCAATTTCTGAGGTTACTGACACCGCGTGAGTTCACGGTCACCAAGACCGTGAACTCAAGTGAGTGAAGCGGTGCATTTCGACACAGCAAGCCGAGTTCACAGACGCGTTGAGGAGTTCGCGATCGTGAACTCAGCACGATCTCAGTATAAAGGGAGAGCTGAAAGGAAGAAGAAAACATGAGCTTCATTTTTAGAATAGGTTTTCATTTTTCAGAATAAGGAGGCTTCTAGTGAGAGGTTAGGGTTTCTTCTAGAGTGAGAAAGTGCAAATCAAAGGAGGAAGAAGGAGCTTTGGGCTTGTTCCTAGCTAGAGGATTGAAGATTTCTTCATCTCAAGGGTGTCTCAAGCAACAAGGAGGAAAGATTGGCATCACTTCATGGTTCTTTCTTCCCCTTTTGTTGTTTTCTCTTGTCTAGCTATGGAATAGCCTACCTACTCACTTGGGTATTGTGAATCCTAGTCTCTCTATGTGTTAGGATGTAATAACATGAACCTATTGTGTTGATTGAGTGTTTTATATGATATTTGAGGTATTATTCATGAATGATTGAGTGTGCTAGCTTTAACTCAATATTGGGTAAAATTGACCTAGAGGGTGGAAATCCCCTTTTGGTCCAATAGGAAACTAGACTTCTTAGCCACTTGGGTAACCTCCTTTAGGTCGATTTAAGACCAAAATCTCAAGTATCGGAGTAGGGTCGTGATTCCATCGGGATTGGTCTATCTGCCGACCGGATTAAGTTCCGATGGTTTGGTATGCAATCCTTAATTGGCTAGTCGAGAGGATTAGGTTTCCTATCCTATTGTTGTCACCCTTAGACGAATAGTTAAGTGAGTTAGCTTTCTAACTTGTTGCAATGAGTCTCAATTAGCTAACTAAGAGAGTTAGGGATCTCCTGGATTGATTGGTGAAGAGGGCTAGGTCCCTAGCTATGAATCACAATCCTTAACCTAACGGTTAAGAGAGCTAGTTCTCCTAGCTTATATTTGTTGATTTTCCTTCATTGATCGACTAAGGGAGTTTGTCCCTAGCTAGTTGCACCCACCTCGCGGTGTATGAACACGTCTTTCACACTAGAGCTTTGTTTGTCGTTTCTTAGCATAAGACTAGGGGGAGCAATACCCGAGTTAAGCCCTCTCGAGTAGAATTCTCCTCCATTTACTTTCCTTGTTTGTTTAATTTGTAGTTTTCTTAGTTTTAAACCCAAAACTGTTTTGCAAGATAACAACTTAAGCGATTGAAGTAGGGGTTTGACAATTAAATACTTGCCCTCTACTGCACCCGGCTAGAGTTTAAAAACTTGGGCTCTAGTCGGGATTAATTCTCGGTGTAGTTTTGTGCGAGTCAGGAGGCAGAGCAAAGGAATGGTCGGAGTTCCCTTCCTCTTTGAGCTATCCACCGCTGTCTGTCGGAAAAGGGAGGTGGCAGATGCAGAGGTGGCTGGGAAAGTGATTCCATTTAGGATTAGGAAGGGAGGTCCCAAATGCTGCCGAAGGGATTTTTAAAATTTTTATTTTTATTTTTTATTTTAATTGAACTAGAGAATTAGAAAAAATATTAGTTAATGATGTGGCGCCCATGCATCAGCCAAGTCAGTTGTTTTTTGTTGAGTCACTAACGGAATAGTGTTTGATCGTTAATATTAACGGTCAAAGAAAATTATGTTCCAAATTTGTCCAATAGTTTCAAAAGTATGTCATAAATGTCTGATTTGAAAAATCGGGCTAGAACTGTCACTTACGCCAAACTTCGAGCCAAACTAGAGTATTAACCCTTTAAAATTTAAATATCATTATTAACTAATTAACACTACTAATATTTTGGATTTTTCTCCAAATTTAAGGGGTGCCATGGAACCGCTTATTTGGCCCTAGATACGCCCTTGCCTGTGTGCTATGTACAAGGCTTTTTCTACACCATTGTTGTCCTAGCCCTTGGCTGGTCTTGGCTGGTCTTGGACTTTTTGTCCATGGTAAGGAAGTGGTTAAGTATTAAGTGTTGTCTTTAAAGCACATGGTATATCACTATGTGGAAAGTTCAAACCCATAAATGGGCTCCCCTTTGAGAATGTGTGTAACAAAATAGTTAAATATCATCATTGGCATCTTCCAACAACTCGAATTAATGGGACAAGTTGGTTTATGATAGCAACAACCGTCTGTCGTCTCTGGCTAGCTACTAGGTGTTGGTTTAGTTTGGCTTCTTTGGTTCATGTTATACATAAACAGGCCAAACATAGATCGAACTAATATCAAATTTTGACAAAAGACTTATTTACGTTCTTAATGTGTAATCAGTAAATCAAACAATAGTCTTTGGTCATTTTGGCGTAGCAGTATACCGATGGAGTGAAAGCTCAATATTGTACTTGCAATCTGACAAATTTTTTATTGAATGAGAAATATGATCATAAGTACACATGATTCAGCTACAAACTCGCTTTTCACGACTCTAACCACCAACTCACAACTCTAAAAATAATTAGCACCTTGATCAATCACTCAGCTGCAAACTCTCAACAACCTTTAACAACTCACATGACTCTATTCACACAAAACAAATCTAAAAAAAAATAACTCAGCTAAAAATAAACCAGTGACGCGATTTGAACTTCTGCTTTTGATAAGGATGGTAATGGGTCGGGTTTCTCTAAACTGAACTCAATCTTTTGAGTGTAATCATTAAGAAAATCGGTGAAATACCCATTGGATCTTTAGAAGTAAAAATCTAACTCAATCTAACGAGTACCCATGGGTTCACGAACATAACCATACATTACTTCTTTAAACATCCACATCATAATGTTTTTTAAATTTTTTCCTACAACTATATCTCCATAAATACTACTAATATCATAAATTATCCATGTTATTATGTTTATATTGCCATAAAGACCAACAATATCAATGAATTATCCATATATATTCTGGTTGGATACAGAATGAATTCGTCTTGCTTTATGGGCACATGTCGAGTAAAAAATGGACTGAATTTTACCCATTTTAATCGAATTGAATTGAATTGGATACTCGTAAATTTGAATTCATCATTTGCCATCCCTATTTTTAATGCCTCTTCCAATCCTGTTCAAACAAGGAGAACGAGTATTGGAAATCCTTCTGCAACTCTGATTCTAGCGTGGACTTGAAATCACGCACACATGAACGGGAACGGATCAGGTAAGTAATTTTATGGTGAGTAACCATGAGTAACCCGTCCACATCAGCATGACATCAGCATCTCTCTCTCCTGGAAAGCCTTTAATTTTCCCCTCATTAATCTTTGACGGGCGATTTCTCGCTCGTTTTAAGTTGAATTTTTTTTTTTGCACAGTTAGATCAGATTAATTGTGCTCTTCAAAATTATATCCATTTTGATATATTTTTCGAACAAAAAAATTGAGTCATTTTTTACGAGTCTATACCATAT